AGATTCGTGCTGTACTCACTAAAAGTTGCATTGCGAAATCATTGGTAATATTGCTGTAGGAATTAATTGCGAAGTCGAAATCAATTATAGAACAGGTAAATACGGTTGAAAGGGAATGTAATGTTTTAAGGTGGCGACTGATTCATGCGATCGATCTATGAATATGGCTATGAGTTATGGTTTCCGACAGATACGAATGCTTGAGCTTACGGCGGAATTTCTTCTGTTACTTAGGTGCAGAGTTGCGAGCAGTGGTTTGAGGTTGACGGTTTGACACTTAGCGACTTTAGATGGTCACTTTGCGTCATTGAAATTGCGAAATGTCGAGTAACAGGTAGATGTAGAATTGTTTGTGGTTAGAACTAATATGCGACTAATATAGGTGCCGATCGTTGTGCTTTTGTAGAATAAATACTAGAAAGGACCACCTTTGTTGGGGAACGATTAAATGGGACAGGAATTTAATTTAAAAAAAAAACTTACGTTGAATGGAGCTGATGAGATGTCGAACAGGGAGATATTGCAGCGATATTTTACCAGATTCACACTCACTGACACATCCGGTGAATCCACCCGGCCAGAAGAGACAACACGCACGAGCATTGCACCGCGAGTGATGACGCGCCCATCGCGGCGTGGCCTTGACTGACTGTCGACGCGACGCCAGCCGGCGGCCAGTATCGTCGCTCTCGACGCGGGCGTTGAGCCGCCAGAGGGCGTAAAAAGCAGCCACAACAGGGGCAGTGGGTTAGCCGTAATTGGGGCGCGGGCGGTAGGTGAAGGTCATTGTATATAGGAGCATGGTTAGTTGTGGAAAGTTGCAACGGGGTAAGAACGTAAACAGTTAATGCATAATTTTAAATATGACATGCTATTTGATATTTAGGACTGCACTTCGTTTGATGCGCATTGTTTACTGCTAATAGGATGATTTAAAATAGATTCCCTATGAAAGGCTAGGGACCCTATGACAATATTCTGGCACTCTATAAAGATAATTTGTTTAGGTAACTAGTAGCCCATCAGAAGCTATCGAACGAGTTTCAAGGAGTCATTTCCGTTTGAGCATTCAGCAATTCACTATGATACGGTGGATCACAACCAGACGACAGATCGGTGCGTACTAATTGGTTCTAGATTATCTGATGAAATCAAGAGCGGTTCAAGGTCTGCTAGGATTGTTTACGAGAACTGATGATTAGGTTCACGCGTGCAGCAGCAATTAGGACTTGAGATTACGATTAGATGCGTTTCTGTTATTCGCGTTCTTGAGAGTTAGCGCCAATAATTACTCCACCAATATTGGCACAGGGCATTGTGAGGCACAGACGGCTTGTTTGCCCGTCTCCTATGGCGTAGCGTTTACCAGCATGACCGTATGAGACACAGATGCACTTCTCTAAACCCACGTCCAGACCGGAATAATAAGAGGGACACGCCGTCACGTACGCAGGGCATATGCACGTTTTCCGCCAGTGGTACCGGCCACTGTTAATTTTCCCGCTTAGGTAACACTGGGTGAGAAGGCAGTGAGAGGTTTCTACGGCAGGGGGAAGGGGAAGATTGGCACAGTGTGCAGTGGAGAGTAAGTTATGCCAAAGGCAAGAAGCCGAGGGTCAGGGGTGAGTCACCCAAAAGTGCGGATAAGGCGCGCCGTAGTGTCCCGAATAAGTCCTCATACTTATTTTGTAAAGGTACCTTAATCGGTACTGGACAGCCTCAGGGGAGGGAAGAATGTACTCCAGGACACGTAAGGCCTTGAAGAGTAAATCCCATGGTTTAAGGAGAGTTCCTGAGGAGAGTTCCAGGATATGAACGGTGGTCCCTGGGTCGTGAACGGGAATGTTACACGCGGACCGGAAGAGGGCATAGGTAATCTCTCCCGGTAGAGAGATAAGTCGGATATAAATCGTGTATGTGTGTACCATAAGTCTATCGGACGTGTAGTGAATCCCATAAATTAGTAGGGTGGATATTTGTGTATAATTATTCTGGACGGCCCTGCGATAAGTATCTTTGTCGCCGGTTAGCGGAGCATGCATATGGATTTCGGAAAGAGACATTTATCTCGCCGGGGAGACCATGGTTTGTAAGACGCCTAACACTATCGGAGGGAATTTCGGGGGCTACCAATTAAATTTGGGTGAATACATGAAATGTGAACGTAATGCGAGCAAGGATGTGAGAATGATGACGCATGAATCTTAGAGTAAGGCCGATAGGAATTTGGTAGAATTCGGTTATGGCAGTCGAACAAATGATTCTCGAGGGCAACTAAACTAGCAACGCTAATACGAACTAAGCGGGCAATTTTTGTAATGGGGAGGCCAGTGATATAGGAATGGGTGACTGGACGAATGATCACATTCAATTAATCAATGTAATTACCACCCATATGTTTGGCAGTGGTCATCGGGACTTCGAATGCCCTGTCCTTCACCTGCCCAACTGTGCTGCAAACCCAGCTGATCGGATCCCTCTATCCCTAATCCGAGCAGTGAAGAAGCATCTCGTGCATCATGGTCTATACAATGAACAGAATCATCAAGCCTCCAATTTAAAAAGCATCTTCCATCAGATGTATTTGTACGCAAGGTGGATACTTACATCTCTATCCGGTGGATCTCATCTATCTCAGGATCTCATCACTATCTGGATCTCTCACTAGATCTATCTCGGGATCTCTTCAACGACTCTCAAGCTCCCCTGTTCTACCAGCTCTACTATCGAGTTCCTTCCAGCAGCGAATCTCTTTTCTGCTACACCGCCGAACAGCAGTGGACCGCGCTGTTTGATGAACCTCAAGATGCAGCTTTTTTATTTCTGTACTTTTCCTTCCCTTCATTCCCTTGCTACAGTAGGGGTAGGAGTATGGGTAGTAGTAGTGGTAGGGGTAGTGGTAGTGGTAGGGGTAGGGGTAGTGGTATGGGTAGTGGTAGGGGTAGGGTAGTGGTAGGGGTAGTGGTAGGGGTAGTAGCAGGGGTAAGGGTAGTGGTAGGGGTAGGGGTAGTGGTGGGGGCAAAAGTAGAATTGTGGCCCGGGCTGATCCCATCGGACAAGAGGTAACCTTTGTGACCTGGCCTGACCCAAAGTGACTGGGGCTGACCCTCTTGACCCGTCTAGACCCCGTATCAGCCAAATTTCATCCAACAAAGCCCTCAGAACAGTTCTTTTTTAATTCTCTTCACATTTCCGTCCATATCTATGCTTCTAGACGACACATCGATTTGAAACGAACACCATTCGAAAGCAAATTGGCTGGTGCCGCAATTTTTTTCCTACCACGCAGCAGAGCAAGTGGCGCAGCCGCTTGTCATTCCACAACTATTTGTCAATATTACTATTTGAGGAGGGTGCGTCTGTCCGTTACCGAGGTCCCGACTTGGTCGTGCTTTGCGTGGACTACAGGTCAGACCGTTGCACCTAGCCCGGTGAAATTTGCACAACTTATAGATCAAGGATGCGCGACGTGCCTTTGAGGGGTCTCAGCTCGATCGGGTCGATAGGGAGCGCGTGGCGCGTGCTCAAAAAGTGCAAATTCGCGTCATAGACTTTACATGTAAAAATCGGCGTGCGAAATCGGGCGAAAACGGCTAATTTTGGCCGACACGGGTCTAGTTCCCGTGCAATATCTTGGTGACCAGGGGTCCGACCGGCACGGGGAAAACAGCATCGTGTACAGAATTGAACGGGCTATTGAATGGTGTGCAATGCAGAGGATAGCACGCGCCACGTGCACCGGAGAGGGCACTTTTATTTGAAAAATTGCGGTTTTTGAGGGATTTTGGAATTAATTTTATTTTTAGGTGACCGTTAAATGGAGCGAGTTGAATCAACGCCTATTTGCAAGAGAAAGGTACCGCCTCTCATATAAAAATTGTGAAAAGCTGATTGATCCAAACCAAGGTGGTGCAAATCACAGGAGAAAATGGTGTTTGTCAATTTTGTGCCGTTTTGTTCATCAAAATGGTTTTGCTCCATGATCTGATATATCTGGCGATTGAAAATGGCACCGTTGGAAAGAGCATTCAATTCTGTCCAAGGTTCAGTCTTCATTTTTGCATGATGAGCAGCAGTATTCTTAAAAATGTAAATGTTCCAAACCATTACATCGTCATTTTTAGCGAAATTCATCGATGGCTCTCAAAAGACTTCACGCCAGTTTTCGAATCATTCTAAAGTAGAACGCATGATAATACGACATGGGCACCTCGATGCGATGTATCTTTTTTATTACAAAAAGCTTGGCCGTCAAAAAGCAATCGAACGAAATGGATACCAGTCAAATCGACACAGACCAACCCAATACCCACGGGTCAAAAATAACCCTTCTTCGCGTTGCGGAGCACGCGGGTAACCCTAGTTGCTCCTATAACCAAAACAACTCTAAAAATGATAAAATGGTGGATAGTGGCTGTAAGATATTGCCAAACAATTATACGGTGAATTATCGCATCAATGTTAATAATACCGTACGCACTTACGTAAATGCAGACATCAATGCACAAGAGATACCCTTCGGCTTTGAACTCTAGGCAACTATTCGAATATATTGATAATCGACAATACGATTCGATATGCGAGTAACGTGCACCAAATGCATTCCCTTGCTGAAATATCGATGTGAGCGACACCTATCCGCTCCATGCAGGAAGCGTGCCGTAAGGGAATCAAAATAAGCATATGCTCAATTGGCAATAGAAATATTTACCATCTAATCATTTTCATCCATCGCTAAGTTCGATCATATAATTCAAAACTCGTAATCAAAACTATCATAAATGAACACACAAATACAATTAACAGATATAGCATAGGAAACACTTCACTTGGAGCCGCGTGTAAAACCTGAAATAATCCCATCAGCGAAACTAGCATCCTCTCCCATCATGCCACACCAAGTACCACACAAGCACCAAGCAACACAATCATAACACCAGAAAAGAGAAGAAATAAGCGAAAAGAAGCAGTCATTAAGCAATGCGGCGTCGTTTGGTTACCGGCTGGCGACTTGGGCGGCTGGCCGGCCGGGAACAGGGGCTCCCAGGTGTTGGCAGCGCCCGCGTCCGGAGTCGGCAGCGGGGAGCGCTGCGGTGTGCTCTCTGCGACACCGAGGGAGCGAGCGGATACGCTACAGAAACGTTCCTACAGAGGTGCATAGCCTCCGCGGGGTGCATAGACACAGAAGGGAGGGAGGGAATGAGGCCTAGCGCCGTCCCGAAGGCACATAGAGACACAGATGAGAGTGATCGACACGGAGCTGTCCCAGAGGCACACAGAGACATACGAGAAGAAGGTAGAGATAGAGGGACGGGGAACAGAGCCGTCCAAGCAGCACATATAGACACAGAAGAGGGGCGAAAAGACATCCCAGAGGCAGCAAACACGGAACGAAGAGACTGATGTCCGCTAAATAGCAGTCCCTGGAGGCACGCAGACACAGAAGGAAGAAAGAGACTGAACGATCTCAGAGGCACACAGAAGGGAGACCGAGACACACAGCCACCTCAGCTCCGACAATGTGCGAACCACCACCATCTTAGCCGTAGGAGGTGACAACACATGGAAAGGGAAGTAGAGAACAAGACAAAGATATACAGAATATGAACAGCAAGGAGCTGAAAACAGTTGAGTTCAGCTAGAAACACCAAAGCCACACACGTACTTAGTATATGTAAGCATGTGTTATCCAGCGACAGCTGAGATCTCAAGTCAGTTAGTAGAAGCAAACACCATTGTTAGAAGACCACCAACACACTAAACCCACTCACTCACGTCTTTACCACCACTCATGACACGCCCTCTGATTCTCCACAGTAGTTTCCGAACTCACCGCTAGGGGCGCTGCCGCTGCTGAGCGCGCCGTTGGTGCCGTCCGGCTGGTAGGTGGCGTTGCTCTGGATGCCCAGGTCGGCCAGCGTCTTGGGTCGGAACTCTGGTCTCGCGCGCGACGCCGCCTCGTTCTTCTTCTCCTGCAGGGTCTCCTGAAGGGCGGAGAGGATGTCTGCACACTGCCGGTGGTGCTCAAGAAGTGACTCGGTGAACGTCGCCAGCTGACTAATCTGCTCCACCTGGCGGGCAGAGGGTAACAGACACACGGTCAGAAAGTGATCTGATGGAAGCAGGGCATATTTTAACAAATTTTTACTGCGTCCCAAAGTTGAGCAGAGGGCACGTGCTACGACTAAGGGCACAGGACAAGGAACAGAGTAGGGCACTGAGGAGGGCAGAAAGTAGGACACGGCAGGTTACAGGGCATGGCACAGGACATTTTAGAGGGAAGGGTACAGGTCAGGGTACACAGCAGGGCACAGGTGAGGGAACCGGTCAGGGCACAGGGCAGGGACGCAGTGGGTCAAATCAGCAGGGGCTACGTCCCAAGGCGAGGGGGCTGCGTCCCATAGTGGGACGCAGTAAGTGCCTTAAAATATGCCCTGGATGGAAGTTTCCGCTACCCAGCATACATGGGGTGACTGTATATACCTGTGCAGCATTTAGCGCAACGACAGAGAGCTTGAGCGCATCACAAGGGCAAATATGAAGGGCGATAAACTTACGCCGTCTCGTATAGATATTTTCACACAACTGGACACTGGCCGGGTCACGGCGACAGCACTAAGGAGTAAGAACGTCGTCTTCCTCTCACACTGAGATAAGGATACGAATTTCCAACGGTAAGAACAGGGTGTAGCTAAGCTGGCAGCCACCCAAGTCAGCCAAAGAATGGGCCAGGACGACGCATTGTTTTACATCAAGTGAGACGGCGAAAGGGTATTGGAGACACTCCTGGCGTGAGGCCAGATGGGCAACTGTTCGCTTCAACTTCGAGGGCACGAGAAACGACGGCAATACATTAATTTAATAAAGTTCTCCGCTAAAAGCTTTAGAACTTCTCTGCTATGACACTAACTTATTAGTGATATCGATTGAAGCATGATTTCGGAAATGGAGTTCAAATGTTCTATACAAAGTCTTTGACTGATCGAGCGTCAATATCAGGGTTTACAAATTGTCAATCCCCATGCACCCGATCAAACACACCATGTAATCCCTGCCAAAAAACGCACTCAAGTCATTGGCACAGCATCAAAGCTATCTGTCAAACACCTCATCACCTTTCACCACAAACTGCCAAAACAGAGCGCCAGTGTTAAACCCACCACCGTGATTACCGTGTACCTACCGAATGACGAAATCACCAACACCCAGTGACGTCACCACTTACGTCGTTCTCCAGCAGATTGTGCATGCTCATCTGGGCGAGGTGGAGCGATTCAGCAAACTTGTCCTCGGCGATCCTAATCTCCTCATCCGGAATGTTGGTCCCTGGGGGCGGGAGGGAAAGGGGTTATACTCAGGTCATTCACCGGGTCATTGAGAAAGGTTACGAGGTCATTGGCCCGCCGTTACGTTGCCAAGGAAAGTGAGCACGCCATTAAATGTTTTACGGGAACACAAGGTAAGCAAAGTCAAGGAGGAGATGGCGAGCCTTGGGAGGTGACTGAAACCAAGATTTAACTATAGGGATGAGAAAAAAAAGCAGAATGGCACACGCGTCATGCAGCAATGATAGATTGACGACTTTCTAAAATGTGCCGCCCTAAAAAGCAAATACAGCAAAATGCAACGCGATTGAGGCAAAAGTTTCTCCCTTCTACCAAGCAGTGTGTCTGTCGAGTCTAATAAAATTCGCTTTCCCCATCTTGACCCCGACGCTATTCCTCTGCCTCATTCCTCCTCTCCTCTGCCATCGCCTGTGCCGTCTCAGCTCGCCAGCCCGGCTGACCTTCCGGGCTGGCTTTGACGTTTTTGCGGGCCGTCTGGATGGCGGCCCGGCGGCGCCGCTCCTGATGACTGGCTATATCTCACCAGGCGACCGACGGCAGCGACGGCGGCCGGGAGGGAGGGTGGTGAGATGATGAAAAACCGCCGCCCGCCGCCGGCAGGTCATATCACCGAGCCAGACAGGCGCCCGTAAACGAAAGATGAACGGACAGAACGACCCGGCTATGTCTTCTGCAGCATGAAGGGTGATGATAGTGAGACTGGACACTGGAAAACATCTTCAAGTTGAACCATTAAAGCTTCAGCTTCTCAGCACTTGGAACACCAAAAAGTACGTGTTCCTAAGACTCTGCCGACCCAGCGACAGCCATCCCCATAGAAACGACCACCACGCGCCCGGAGAGCGACACCCCAGCTCTGTCAGTCATCAGCAGCCGCCGGAGATAACAGTCTTTAGCGTCAGCCGGCAGACCATCACCTCCGCGGCAGAATAACGCAGTCCGCAGCCGAATAACGCAGTCCGCGGCCGAATAACTCGGTCCACTGACGGCAGCTGCGGGCGGCAACAAATAGAGTCGGCCAGCCGCTGCAATATGGGCCGACAGAGTAGCCGCCGGGCCGGACGGGAGATTGGGCTCATCATGCGGCCACGGTCTGACGGCCGCCGGGGACCGGGCCGGGCTCTCAGAGCGGCTAACAGCTGTGTCACATCCCGTCTCGTGGGATTGCAGAGAGACAGAAGCGGGAGGTGTATAGGGGGCATGGCACGAGTCAGGACTGAGGCTGGGATGGAAGCCTCTTTGAGAATCCAGCAATCACGACATGTTGAGATACTAGGACTCCTTGGTCGAAATAAGTCTGCTTGTAAAATGCGACACCACACGTCCAAACAAAACAAGACTCTAGCCAGTCTGCCTGCCTCTAGAGGGCAAACTCGAGTATTGGTGACCACCTGGGCAGATCAGGAGACATCATGAGACCGGCACAGCGTTGGGACGAGTTGTCCGCCGTTCATTCTGACACCCCGGTGAAGCAGCACCGTTGAGTCAGAAAGGCAGCCATTCGCACAGTCCACAGCAAAATGGCGGACCACCCCAGAGCCCGTACCAGTCGGGCCGACATCTGGGTGACCGGGCACAGGAACCGTGACCGATACCGCGAACAGAACCATATGGACAGATACGGCTGGTTCAGGCCAGATAACGGGTGCTGAAAGCAGGAAGCGAGACATGCTAGGAAGATGTTCGAATACATTTATTGGATCATTAGGCTTGATATTCAAATTGGTCGTCTAACGACGAAAAATAACAAAAGAACAGCACAATGAACCATATGGTGTCGGGGTATTAGAAAGTCAATTAGACACGCAACTGAATTATGGAAGCAATCAGCCAGGCAGGCCCAATGTTGATTGCGCGATGCATCATCAAATTCTTGCTGATGAGTTTCTCCTACAAGTCATGACCAGTCAAAGCCAATTTAGTGACGGCTGTCTGTGCAGATGCCAAACTAAGTTTCAGACTGACAAAAATACAGCCCAATAACGGAACTGACCAGCAATACATCATTCTAGAACCCCGAGCGCAATCTTTCCACGTCATAAACCAAATAAAGACACTGCAGAAAGGAGTAATAACCCAATATGTCGACTCCACAGCTGCACCGGAAAAAAAAAAAATTGTCGAGCCGCAAATGTGATCAAAGGTCCAGCGACAGCACCACACACGGACGGATATTAATACGGAAACGGATACAGACTCACATAAAAACGGAAAAGGAAATTGACTGACCAGTGACCACCTGTGCTGCGCCGAACGCTGCATATTTGTCTTAGCTAGTCGCGAAAAATACAAGATAGTTAATGGATCCTCCTGAGTGTAAGTGTAAGCTGGGAAACAAAACAATCTCAGACAAAATAAGCACTTCAGCAAACGCCTACTTTTTACGTGCAGTCAACATAGCCAAGGCAGAATCACGGAGCTCTACAGGGACCAGAGATGAATACAAACGACCACTGCGGGTACCAAACGACACCTATACGACTCTCTGGGGGAGGTGTGATTGTATCAGAGCGGAATGAGTGGCGCGCGACACTCCCAGAGTCGCCGGCAACGGAACGACACCCCAGGGACTGCTGTGATGACAGCAGGTGTGAGGAATGCAGCGCCAGTGGCGACGGCGGCGACGACACGGACAATATGGTGGAAATGGACGAGCAATGTGCATGTACCGCAGTCTGAGGTTTGTATATACAGGGATGAGCAGCGCGGTGTTACTCAACTACGGTATATATGGTATAGGCGGTACGGGGTACGTGCGTGCGGGCCCGTAACTGGGGAGCGGGCCGCATAACTGGGATCAGTACGTGTATAACTACACTAATAAGGTTGATGGGTGGGGCATTGCAATACTGCGGCAAACACATGCGGTACGGTCGGTACGGGATAAGAGAGGTACGGTACGGGCGGTACGGGGTACGGGCCGTACCTGGGGTGCGGGCCGGACTGCCCATCACTGGGGAAGGGCTGACAGAGCGGCCTCCTGACCGGACAGAGCGCGACAGGTCAGGTCAGCAGATAAACGACACCAAACACATAACCCGGGGAAGACAGCACATGGACGCTTAGTAGCTCATCACAGCTCAGCCAAAAAGCAGTAAACACTAGCATTCAATGGCGGGCAAATTATTCTTTTTGGCGCCTCAACTAAGCAAACAGTTTTGAGCTAACTCGCAGCACGTTAAGAAGCAAGCAAATTATTCCACAAGTTGGAGCACAACGAGTTATGAAAGGGAAATATCATTTTATAGCGACAGTGATTTTCCCTTTCATAACGAATAAGAACTACCTGGCTATGACAAGCAAGCCAGCCGGTAGGAGCACTCAGACACATCAAACACAGGAAAGCATGCTTCGATCATTCACATATCTGGGCAAAAATATCAACGGACATGCCGCTCTAATCCAGCCACATAATGCCCCGCAGTTATGCCGTGGGTTTATCCGAAACCCCACCCACACCGGTAAACCCCAGCCACCGAGCCGAGAGCACGCCACGTTCCACACACCATCTCTTCCCCCAGCGGCGCCGTGTCCTCACCTCTGTCCCGCTTCCTCTTCTTGCAGTCGTAGTCGAGCCGGCGGCCCTGCAGCTTCTTACGGTGGTGCTGTGGGGAACAGGAGAAGATTAGTGATGACGCAGACGTAAGATAAGTACACAGGACAGGAAATCGCTTAGAAGCATACGTAAAGCTGCGAACAATCTCCGATGCTCAACTCATCACCTTCAAGAAGCGAGATATAGAAGTGAACACTTTTATCACTGTCACAGACAAAAAGAAAAACCAACAGCAGTGCAAGCTCAATGAAGCTGAACTTTGACCAGAGCATGGCTAAATAAATATAAAAAGACAATTGCCCCATCCCTGTTCTTTGTGTGCCAATTAAAATGGAGAAGCGTATAAGTCTGACCCTACAGACTGAACAAACATTTCAATAACATTATTGAGTGACCTTTATTGAAGTCCCACAAAAGCGCATTGATGGGATCATACTTTCGCATTGTGAATTTCAAAGCTGAAATATTGCCGTCGGTGGCTCAACCCAAAGTTAAGGTAAAAGAAAACATTGAACGATAATTGATGTTCATGAATATTCTTCGCTGCTTTAATCCAAATACGACTGCCTCAGGAAACTTCTCGTTAGTTATCAAAAAGTCATGGATCATCCAATGCATAATTAAAATCATTACTGCAACTTTACCTCGCTTATGGTTCACAAGAGCTCTTTGAAGGCATAGCATTCCCCATGCATCTCTGGGTAGAACATAACAGTTAATTGTTTATTGTTTATTAGGCATTGTCAGCCACAGGCAAAACCCAATGACGGCTGAGGTCAAAGTAAAATATAAACACGCACACGCACACACGCACACACACAAGACACACAATATTTCATCACACCTGCCTACGCACATGCATATGCCTATACCCACCACAGACAAAAAGCCGCGGGACACTTTAAGACAGCAATAGCTCGTATAAAAGTGGCAAAAGGCCAAAACACTGAGATACAATAAAAAAGGAACAATAAAATGACACATGATCTGTAAAAAATGCAAAAGATAAAAGTAATGCAAACAATAGCAGCCTACGTGACTACGTCATACAAGTACCAAGGCCTCGTGCGTAGGCACGGATGCGCGCGGTGCAGTGGGGACTAGGCTGAAAGAAATCCTCGTCTGGATATTTGTTCAGGAACTCATTCACTAGTTTCGGGACTCGTACGCCGAGGCCGTTCTTCACCGTATCAACCCGTCCAAAAGGTACGTTGAACAAGCCCGTCTGCCTAGAGCGCCGGCCAGGAACACGCAGCGAAAACATAGTCACAAGTAGCCCACAGTCCAGTCGGCCGGCAAACACAGAGCGTATGAACTTCAGGTCGGTCTGAACAAGTCTAGCTTTGATGGACATACAGTGAAAATGTTGGAGGAGAGACTCATAGTCCATCGAGCACCGGCTATGTGTCTTGGCGCCTAACCACATCAGGTAACGGTGTTGCAGTCTCTCCAATCTCGCAAGGTGAGTAGGTGCTGCGCCACTCCAGACGACACTTGCGTATTCCACAACCGATCTGACATGGGCATTGTACGCCGCCATGACTGCCCGGTGATCGAAGTACGGCAGCCGGGTACGGTGTGAGACCTGCATGCTGCGCATAAGTAGACCTAGCATGCGGTTGGCCTTGCTCACACAGGCGTCAACATGCGCGCCAAATGTTAGCCTGGAGTCCAGGATCACACCCAGATCTCTGATCTCCGTACACCGCTCGAGTGTACGGAGCATGCCAATTAATGAGCATGAGAATTAATATGCATGCCATGTTCGATTTCTAAAGAAGCTCGGTAACACCGAGCCTCGACCATGCCCATCCAGCAGACTAAGAATCGTCCGTCCCTCCCGAAATCCATCCCTGCCAACCGGCCCATTCCATTGGCCAGTAAAGGAGCTATGAACTCTGGATGACACCAAAGGACCTGGATCTATCAGAAGCCGGCAGTCGCATCCCGATGGACCCTCAGAGGTTCTACCCAGCTGTCAGAACCTGTTAGTATCACTGATATTTCTCTGAAAGCCTCTAGCTGGGAGCACATCTTTTTCGTAGATTCCCATGCGACTCAAGATACGGTTACCAAAATGCTCTATAGAACCCCTCGAGGAGAGCCCATGATCACCATGGTAACGCTGAAAAACATAGTGTCTGGCAGGAGGTGGGGAGCCGATGACGTCAGTCTGCTTCTTGGGAAACCCACTAAGACTGTTAGGGGAAGCCATCAAAGAAGATGCGAGGCCGGGTGGGGTCAGAGCGCAATGGTATGACGGGCAGAGCCGGCAAACGGGGCGAGGGTAAGGTAGAGTAAGGCGTAATTGGGCACTGAACAGGACTCGGAGTTCACAGCTGAGTGCAGTGCAAATGAGATAGGAAAGCAAGGCATTTGTATATAGGCTGTCAATGTGTTGGAAATACGTTTATATGTAACCAGTGACATTGATAAGAAATGACAAATATGTGAGGATCACTAACAGATCACTAGCTAATGATCACTAGCCTGATTGCTAGCAAGGAGCAAACGTCAGCGGAACAGTCTGCAAATATAAGCGTCTGTCAAGACACGACATATAAAGAGGTCTTGAAAAATGGAAGCGCATTTAGCTGACACCCCGCCTTTCTAAAGTGCCGACTGCCAGCTTCCACTCACCATGACTTCCTTGAGGTCCTTGCTCTGCAGGTGGTGCAGCGGCTCGAGGAAGTTCTGCTTCATGTTGTCATCCAGCGCGTATTTGATGTCGGCGATCTGTTTCATCGCCTCACCAGTCTCGATCATCGCCTGAGCTGTAACGGGCACGACCGGGACGCTCAGAGCGGGGAGGACGGCGACACCGGCTATAATGGGAGACATCCGTCCGTCCGCCCTATCGGTGAATGGGCCATCTGCCGGTGGATGTAGCTATTTCCGCGGCCGACGCCATCCCATCGATACTGGTGACTAAATGATGACATCGCGCGCCGTAACAAGATCAGCCAGCCAGCCGTTTGCTGAAGCCGGATCGATGTTGTACCAGAGCGGGCAGTGAAACGGTACCAAACCGCACCCTTTGAACACGCTACCTCGAGGAAGTCATGGACATTGAGCAAGCAACATCAACAGCACCGGGTAGCCTACCAGTCGCTTACGACGCCTACCGTTAAAGCAGCACTTCAATAAGATTACTGCCATCCCACTCAGTTCAGAGCTAACGACCGCGCTGGCGGCGGAAGCAGGGGGCGGTGGCGGTGTGGGCGGTGTGGGCGGTGGGGGCGGTGGGGGCGGGGCGGCAGGTGGGGCGGCGGGCGAGAGAGATGTGGGATGGAGGATCACTCCGGCTTACCGAAAGGCTCCTCGTCGCCCAGTTTCCTGCCGAAGTTGACCATGCAGTCGCCGAGCACGCCCTCCGGCTGCGGATAGGTGGCCGCCTTCGCCTGTCCGGAGAGCTTGGAGATACCTGCCGAAGGTCGAGGGTCAGGTCACAGACTGATGGGTGTTGCTGATTGGGTAGAACCACGGTCCAGAACAGTGGGGAAAGTTGGTGGAACAAAAGAATGGAATACTAAAGATATGAAAAGATACAAAGGGTGTAGAGTTGCTATCAGCAGTGTAAGATGATAGTAAGAGAACCGGTTGCATTCTGGCAGAGCATTCGACACACAGTTAATTAAGATATTTCAAAAGTAGTTATTAAAAATTCATCCTAAACCCGTTCTAATGGAGCTCGGTGAGAGAAAATGAATAATGATGTCTACAATGAGAAATATCGGGAATATTTACAGAGTAATACAGGCAACAATGTCGACGGACAATGCCGGGACAGGGACGTCCGTTACCGACAAAACCTGTACAAAACGAATATTGTGAAAAAAGATAAAAGCCAATAACTCTGAAATGGTACTTCACAGCAAACGGTAAAACAAATGCGGTAAAAAGCACTGTGCTAAACATTTCAATGTAAATGGCAGGGTCATTCGAGACTGTCCCGTTTGTCGTGCAGAGGTTCGCTGAAAATAAAACGATGTTCAGAAGCGCAACATATGGCTGTCGGGAGTCTATACAAAAACAGGCATCCACACAAGTCGATCGTGTGCCAGTGCTTATATTGAACTAAAGGTGCATGACTACTCACGCTTGAAACTGAAACGAGAGGTGCCTGAAAGTCAGACATAGCCCGATAACTACTGAACTCAAATTGGACAGCACAGAATTGCTACAAATGTCGCGAAACTAAACAAACCGGACAGCTCCTTAGGTGTGTAAAACGATTCTGGGTATTTTCACGGGTAGAATATCAAACACAATGACATTAGAGACATCACTGGTTTAACGTGAGGCGTAAATGTCAAATTACGAAAGGAAACATTTAAGCATTCATATCGAGACCTTAGTCTTGTTAAAACACTTTTAGATAGCGAGACAATCATTTAGAAACATAATATTTCTATTCCATTTTATCACACGGATCACATTTTCTCCTGCACAAAGACCGAGCCTACGCCCACAGCCCCAGCTACTTTGCACCAATTAGGCACATCAAACGCGGAAGTCAGGCTTCCTTTACCAAGAACCTCGGTACTCCGAGAAGCAAGCGTGGCATCGATTTTGTCGTGTCCCCTCCCGGATGTTGTATGCGACCCTCAGGAGGGGAGGGGGGGGGGGAGACAGGGGGGTCGCCGACCATCCGGGTTTCGTCAACACCCGGCCGACGGGAAGACGTCCCTTCTCTCCACCGCGTCTGGAGTAAACTCCCAGGCCCACTCAAGACGCGGCGGTCGCGCGTGAATCGTTCGACGGCAAACAGGACTAATACCGCTGGGAGCCGACAGCTGGTCGCGTCTCTCGACACACACGGGGCAGCTCCTGACGGCTGTTAGTGCGTCCGGGAGACGCCTGTTTGCTGCGGGTCTGAGCCGGCGCGGCGCCAGCTGTGCGGTGTGTCTGAGCTGGCGCAGTGTCGGCCATGCCTGGGTCACTGTCTGCTGTCTCGACCGCACACCGGCGGTTGTCTGTTGTCTGGACCACCCCACGCCGGCGTCTGTCCCGTGTCTGGCCCAGGTCAGGCGGCCCGCGTTGATTCTCGGGCGGACCAGATGGTGCTGTCATTTCTCCGTACCAGTCAGGCATGAGACCGACCTAATAAGTGTTCCATGGCCAGCTCGGATCGGGCCAGGCTCCACGAAAAGGCTACAGCTCATACGGAGCCAGCCGGAGCATGGGAGCAGACGACGGGCCCAGCTGTAACGTTGGATTCCAGCCGGACGGTCTGCGCTACTGCCGTTGCTATATGCTTTTATATGGGAGTTGGGACATGCACAACTGTCCTGTCGGCTATCCAACGAGGGATATTGACATGGACTGTCGAACCACGATGCCTCTCTGCCGAACCGGGATCCCGGCCCGTGACCCGTCCTTAGCGAGCAGGGCACGGCCGCGGCATCCGGGTCAGGCCGCCGGCCGGCTGGAGGGCCGCTTGGCACCCGGCCGGGTTCTATTTGTCGCCACAGGTGTTGGCCAACAGGAGATCCGAGACCGGACAGAACCAACACCCGGGCTTGGTCCGGAATACGAACGGCCGACAGCAAAACCAGGTCCGGGATCAGCGCCGGAACAACAGCCGGTCCGGAAAACAAGGCCGAAATTGAGGAGGCGTGGTCTGAGTTCGATCGAGACAAGCATTGAGGAAAGAGGTTCAGGATCAGCCACCTGTCGAGCATTGCGATCTGTTACCGAGAGTATTTGGTCAAATACCTACATAATTCAAGACCAAACATGATAAATGGGTACCTACCCGAAACCAGGCATCTTGCCTTTTCGTCACAATCCGATGTTTTACTCGTATATCTACGCGAAATACTAATCTCAATGAATTCCTCTCGATTCCTCTCGTAATATCTCTCCACTTTACCGGCGTATAGATTGGTTCCAGCCGACATTCAGCAAACACGCCATTCCAGAGAGCACATCTATCAGCATATATGCATCCAATCTCTCCCGGGAAACCCATCTTCATCATTCTACCCGCATCGCCCATCTATCTATCCCGCCGAAAGGCATACTAAGCAGCACACATTCCTATGCCTTCCTCCGCAATCAGCCGATATATTAATCCTTTGTAGTTGATACTATTGATACTCAATGCATGAAATAATTCATCCGGAGACGTTTTCACCGAACAGGGTACCTCCCTATATTGATCACTGATGTCTCTCCCGACCAATAAACCTAAAGGTCGCCACTGTCTGCAGTATGGGCGATGTATTTACACCGATGACATAGGCTTAGGTTCGCCCACGCCTGGTCACGCCATGAAAGCACGCCGGTCCCACGTCCCTGTCCCGCCCGACCTTCGGTTAGTTCTGAAGGGCGGGGACTCGTGGAAGGTTCACAGTAGGCTGGGAGGAGGCCGGCGGATCAGAGGGGTGGGTGGGCTCTAGCGGTAAAACGGGCAGGCCGCTGTCCCGCCCGCCCTGACTGTAAAGCCCTTCGCAAACTGTTCAGCTGTCTGTTAGCTGTCTGTCGCCGAAATCAGAACTGGCAGCGGGTAACAGCGATAGACAGCGAAAGAAGATAGCAGACGTCTGTCAATGGCTTACGGTAGCTAAGAGAAGACTCAGTTCTCACTTTGAGTCCCGACTCACAGGCAGGCCATGCTACGACTAGCTTGACCACGTCTCGCTTATGGAAACGCCTCTGAAGGTCCCAACTGTAAGTGATAAAATGCAAGGCATCGTTATTTTCAACAGTACACGGGTAGACAAAGCCTTCCTACTCTCGTCCCTCAGGCGATTACAACAGCCAAGCAGCGACATCGCTCACTACCCGCCTGTCACGGTGCTGCCACAGTAGCTCGACTTGTGTCGGTCGCACGCCCAGGACCTGTCACAGTCTGTCATCCGCATCAACTGGACCTGTCACAGTCTGTCAGACACGTCAACCGGACCTGACACCCCACCACCCGCTAAAAACTCGCTGATATACAGCCCGACGAGCGCTGAGCCTTCCAAGGTGCCGTCGCAGACCTACGAGCTTTCCCCGACCATTGAATCGCGGTCGTGCAGGAGTTATCTCCGTCGTCGAGCTCAAACGACGTCGGGCGGCCTCCGGAGTCGTTTTGGCTCCGCTTGGCGCTTTATGGTTGGCCGACGGTTTCGATAAGCTACTTTTGTGTTCATCATTCTGGGCTCAAGTACCGTTCCCTTCAGTAGGAAACGGAGACCACTATTTCTCAACAGAAAAACGTGAACGTCAGACGACAGAGGGGCCCGGTCAATGCACAAATAGCTGCGACCAGTGGCATTTCGTCCGTCCGTCGGTGTCCTGACTAGTGGTGTCAATCGGAACTTGAATCTTCGGAATTCCGATTTTGTCCAATGTCCAATTCGGAATTCGTTTGGACAATGGCCGCAGGCTTTGGACAACTTTGGACAATCGCTTGCTACACCTCAACATTTTTAAAAAGTAGTCGTGTTTAACATTGGTTGGCTATTAGAAAGCTCAGCTTTCGATATGATTAACACTTTTGAGCTTGCAGCGGCACATGAAAAGCAAATGAAATAACAGTGTTGAGTGTAAATTATTGCGTAGGTGTCGGACATCTTTGGACAAATGGCTGGCTTGGACATTTTTGGACGGACAATCGACGTAAGCATTGGACATTGGACGGACTTTGGACATACGTTTTCTGAAATTGACACCACTAGTCCTGACCCCCTCCCCTCCTTTCACGACATACCCAGCAGTCACCGTTTTCCCTTCACCCACGGTAACGTTCAGCGCATTCCGTGAACCGTGAGCCTGGGAGAGACCGGTCACGGTCGGCCGGTCCCTGTCCCCCAGCTGACCGATCCGGTGACGTCATCATGCCGCCAGTGACATCACGGCTGACTCAGCGTCTGAGTCGAACCGTGACGCATCGACAGGTGTCGAATAAGGGAAAGGTGCGCAATGGAGCCGGTGTTTGAGCTGCCGCTGGACGAGACAATTATAGCTGCTAATGTCGGGGCCAGAGAAAAACACGAGCAGGATAATGACAATCAAGGGCTACTTGTTTAACTAATCTCAAGTAAGCGGGTCACTCTGCATTTCGTATGCGGTTTGTGCCGTGCAGTGCATTGTGCAAATGCATTGCGACTGTCACGTTGGAAAACAATATATAGCAGTGAATGGGGCTTAAATTTCCAAGGCCGACCACGCTGCGAACTCCGTGGCCGTGGCATGGCGTGAGAAATGTCCGCCACATATCTGGTCATACTGCCGAAAATGGAGCTCGTAAACATCACGAGTGTTCGGGAAAGGCCGGCCGACCGCCAGACGGCCAAATAGGGACAGGTGACAGACGAGCTACACTGGAACGAGGCGGTGATATTACTGAACTCTGTTGAGCAGTAGGTACGAAATTCGCAGCATTGCTTTGGGTCAGCGAGTGAAGCCAATTCCCACAGAATAAAAGATGTTTGAAAAATAGTTGGGAGGCCAGCAACAGCTTCGGTATTTAATTTTCATCAAGCTTTTAAGCAGAAAAGGGTAGAAAGACACATACGCCCAAGTTCATCAAGATAAACGTCTCGTCACAAAAAAAAAAACTGAAAATAATCTATTGCATCAACAATAACTACAAACAGTATCAAAATACTCGATTACGAAAAGAGTCTCAATTTCGCCGAAAACGTACGCAATCACGGGCCCACTGCGGTCTGTCCTTACAATACAACGCTCTCGGCCAGCGGAGCATCGCTAAGAGCGGTTGGCGTCTGTGGCTACCGCTTCAATTAGTCCTGGATCGTCTGCTCAGCACTGGGGTCATCTGCGCCCGACGCGAATAGAAATTTCACGCGCCAGCGAGTGGTTGTCCAGCCTGGCAGCAGAGCCGCCGACGGCCAAACCAAATACCCGGTGACCTGGCCGGTCGGTCAGCGCTCCAATGCAACGGGGGGAGCGGGGGCAGCGGGTTCAGCTGAGAGCATGGTCCATGGAGCTTATCAGGGAATCGGGAGCCATGGGGTTGAGCGATCAGCGAGGGAAGCCAGGTTGCTGGTAGGAGAAATGATTTAATAGAGGGATGTATGTCAGCTGTTGTGAATGCTTTACTTGGTGTAGTTCCTCCTAGAGATAGCAGATCTCAGGCAGAAGCCAGGGAAGCTTGGTTGAGGGTAGGATGGATGTTTTTTTTTAGAGAGATATGGTCTGGTTGCGAGGGTTCTACTAGGTGTAGTTCCTCTATCATAACAGATCTCGTTGATGCTGAACAGCTGCTATGCGGCCGTGAAAACAGATTGACGTAATATCTAGCAGCCAAAACTGGGTACCTACATGGAGGTCAGGCACCCATCAACACATACAGGTATTGGTGCACCGGCAAGGAAGTAATTCTCTGGCATCATCATTTCATCAGCATCCGTAGCTGCGCTCGCAGTCGGTCGCCAAGTTCTGTGACCATCGAGGTCCACCTCACCAAAGATCCCCCTCCCCTCCCCCCTCTCTCTCTCTCTCTCCCTCTCTTCTCTCTCTCTCTCTCTCTCTCTCTCTCTCTCTCTCTCTCTCTCTCTCTCTCTCTCTCTCTCTCTCTCTCTCTCTCTCTCTCTCTCTCTCCCTTTCTCTCACCTTTGACGGCGGACATTTTGGCGCGCGAGGCGGGGTTGGGGTGCAGGAACTCCCGCGTCTTCACCTGCAGCTCCTCAATCAGCTCATTTGTGACGTCCGTTTTCTGGGAACGCAGAGACCGCGGTGTCACCAGGGGACGCGGTACAGAGGACGGGCGGGCTGGACAGTGTGGAGGATGGGATGACGAGATATTGCTCTATTATACAGGGGTGTGTGAAGGAAGCGGCGTCTCCAATCTCCCAGTGGCCAGTCTGGGCGGTGGGGTCACGCTCACGAGATTGTAATGTTACACAGAGGCGGAGTGTAAAGGAAGAGGTGGGCGGTCAGTCATGGGGCGGAGGCAAGGTCGTTGAAGAATGGAAGGCGTTGATCATATGAGCAGGCGTTGACAAGGAGGGATGACAGGAAAATGAACAGAGGTTCTGCAGAGGAGCTGAGACTCGTGTGATCAACAGGGTGGAACACAACAACTAGGGCGGAACCACCGGCACGAGAAAGGCAGATGGCCTCAACACCCACAAAACCTGTCCATTTGTGTGCATATTTCTGCGGCGAGAGAGGCCATATGGCGTGCCGAGTGTCCGTGAGGCGATTCAATATCCATCCAGCACGCGGGTCACGCAATTAGCAGAGGTCGAGGACCGGCGACGGGCTCAGCTCTCTCAAAGGCACACCGGGCTAGCCGAGCGCCGGATGGTGCCAGTAATCAGCTTTAGCAGTATGCCGAGTTGATCTTAGGTGATCCCGGAATGACATTTACTCTTGATAGCAGATTAACTTGTTAAATTACTTCCCAGTCACCTAAGCATGAAAACCGTTCATTTTGTTAAGTGCATTACGTAAGATGCAACATAGTCTACCTCATTTTTGAATTGAGAAGCTGTTTAGAACTAAGCGTGTAGCTAGAAAAACAAAACACGAACACAAACAGTCAACTCACAAATTACCAAATTAAAACCCACAAATATTCATGGAAAACAGCCTTCCGTTGTGAGCTGACGCAACTCGCCGGCACCCTCCGTTCGTGACCGAGTCGGTGGCAGCACCGGCACCAAATTTGAGCCCGTGCATTCCTGAACACACGCGGCGTGCGACGCGTGCCAACGGAGGCTGTCAGTCGGACCCCAGCCGGCCGGCAGTGCCCGAGGCACGCCGGCTACACGGAGCTCAGCTCACAGGGTGAGTGCACCTCCGGTGGCGAGCTGGTGTAGGCTCCGGTTCACGGATCATACTATCCTGCCACCGAACACTACAGAACCAAGAGCTCAGCAAAGTTTATAAAGTAACAAACAGGTAACTTCGTTTCCGCGAAAATGATACTAAGGAGCTCGACAATTATGCAGAAACCGTTCAAGCTGCATACAGCGGCGCCTACAGAATGCATTCAAATTGATATAGCCGCCTCATAATATCGCAAAGATCAAGATTCCCAAGGTATCGTGGGGATTACAAACCTGAACTCAAGGAGAACTTCCGTGTTATATGTATACCTATGCAATATGCATCGTAGCTAATCAAGCTAATTCAAAAGAACCCATTGACATTCAGACGGTGTATTCCCAGCGAACACTTAATTAATTTTTGCGAGTATCCAATCTCAATTCGAATGTCTGAGAAGAACGCCATTTGCCCAAAGAGTCGAGCTAAGCCTCATAATCCAATCGCGTGCCTGGACATCACTGATGATATATCATCTCCACAAGGCGTGAATATGTTGTAGTAATCTTGGGCGTGAACGATGCACTAAGGCCAGGGACATTTCTCGCTGACACTCGCTCAGCCCCTTAACATACTCACCCGCTCCATTTCTGTGAACTCGTCGTCGAGTTTGGTGCCCTCGGCACCGCCCATCTTCTCCGACACATATTGGTTGGCCTTGTTGATCTGCTTTCTCAGGCCGGCGAACGCCATCTTGCCAGACTCTGGAAAGGAGAAACGAAACGGGTCAGTTTGGAACAGATACAAATAAAGAAGTTGTTTGTGTGCTTGCTTATGGCTTGATGAACCCCAGGGTGCAGACGCCACCAGTGCCAGCCGAGAACTGTATTCAGCGAGCGGGGCGGCGGTGGCCCGGGCGGCCACAGCCCAGACTGCATACGATACCGGCGCCGGCTCAGCGGCGGCTCCAGGCTATAGAGCGGGGTGTGACCACAGCAGCCACCACGATACATCTCCCCCTCTTATGCGTGTGCTAATAAGATCTCCTATAGAAAGCTAAGCTGTACTCCAAGCACAAAGCTGGTTTTCTTAATCCCCGTATATCCGACCGCTGCGAGTTTTACGAGGGCTAACGTGTACAGGGTCGTCAGCGGGCTGCACTGATGGCGGAGCGGGTGCCAGCGGAGACGTCGCCGGCTCAGGCGACGGCGCAGCTGGCGGAAGCTGCTGTGGTGGTGGTGGCGGCACCACCGGGCGTGGTGCTGCCACGGATGTCGGCGGCACCACCGGAGGTGGCACTGGTGCTGCCCGTTGCCCGGTTCCGTGCTGTGCCGGGACCTGTAACGGAACAGGAGGGATCAGCAGCAGGTGCCGTCGGTTGCGGCGATATTGGCAGCCGCCCAGCTCCACCAGATAGCTGCGTCTGGAGAGCCTTTGCGTGACGATGGCGGGCTCCGACCAGCTGCCCCTTTCTGTCTTGATCCGGACTCTGGCGCCGGGCTGCAGCGGAGGCAGGTTGCGGGCGCCTCGCCTCTGATTGACGGTTGACTCCTGTTTCTTCTTTCTCCGCCCATCGCGAAGTTTGGCGTGCCGCCATGCCTTCTTGGCGGGCTGCTGAGCGACGGGGAGACGGGACTGAAGCTCACGTCCCATCAGAAGCCGGGCTGGGGAGTATCCAGTGGCTTCCACAGCCGTTGTTCGGTAGTTTAGGAGAGCGAGGTGAGGATCTTTTTGGCGAAGTATCCACTTTGCGGTCCTCACGGCCCGTTCAGCTGCTCCGTTGGATGATGGCGTGTGCGGGTCAGTGACGCGATGTGTGAAGCCGTACGACGCTGCGAAGTCGGCGAATGAGCTGGAAGTGAACTGCGTTCCTCCGTCTGTTGTCATCAGATCCGGTATCCCCAGTCTGGAGAACAGGCGCTTCAGCCGCTCGATGACTGCGGTGCTTGTGAGGCTGGGCAGGCGTTGGATTTCCAGATACCTGCTGAAGAGGTCCACAGTCACGAGCCAGTTGCTGTTGTTGAAGTGGAAGATGTCTGCTGCGATGTGAGTCCACGGTCTTGACGGCGTTGGAGTCGTTACCAGTGGCTCAGCGTGCTGGGAGGGCGCGTGCACTTGGCAGAACGCGCAGTGCTCGACGTGGCGCTTCAAGTCGATGCTGATCTTGGGCCACCAGACGGATTCTGCTGCTCGCTGGCGGCACTTGTTGAGCCCGAAGTGACCGTCGTCGTGTAGACGGTTGAGCATCTCTTCACGCAGACTAGGCGGTATGATGATGCGGCGGCCGTACATCAGCAGTGTGCCGCTTGTCAGGTAGAGAACGCTGATTTCTCCACGCGCGGCGAAGTAGTCCAGCATGTCGGGGTGCTTTGCTCCCTCCTTCCAGCCAGAGAGAGTCTGCTGAACCACGCGCTGGAGGAGTTCATCTGCCTGTTGAGCCCTGCTGATCTCCACCAGACGCTGCGGTGTGGCGGACAGGTCATCGAAGACCCTCTTGCAGAAGTTGTGGACGTCTTCCTGTAGCACAGCGCCGATCGCATCGTGCTTCTGGAGTGGGTGACGCGAGAGGAAGTCAGGTACCAGGTGCTGCTTCCCTGGAATGAACACCGCTGTTGCGCTGTAACGCATTAGTCGCATGAGCATGCGCTGACACCTGATTGGCGCATCTACGAGATTTTTCGTGTTGATGAGCGGGATCAGTGGCTTGTGATCCAGCTGTAGGTCGAACGACGGCAGTCCAGACAGGAACACGTGCATCTTCTCGCATGTCCAAGTTGCAGCGAGTAGTTCCTTTTCAATCTGGGCCCACCTCGTCTCTGTGTCCGTCAGACTTCTGCTGCAGAATGCGACGGGCTTGAAGCTGGAACCATGCTTCTGAAGGATGCATCCTCCGATTCCGTAGCTGCTTGCGTCTGCGCTGACCACTGTCTCACGCGCTGGGTCGTAGAACGCCAGGACTGGAGCGGACGTGACGGTTGCTTTCACATCATCCAGTGCTTGCTGCTGCTGAGGCGTCCAGTTCCACGCAGCGTCCTTTTTCAGCAGATCGTTGAGGGGCTTTAGGCGCTCCTGGATGTGCGGGACGAACCTGCAGAGGTAGTTGACCACCTCTAGCAGAGACCGGAGCTCTGTGACGTTCTTTGGCTGCTGGAGCTGCTGTATCGCTTCGAGCTTCTCGTCGTCCACGCCGATGCCATTCTTGCTTATCTTCATGCCAAGAAACTTGACCTCGTCCCTTCGGAACTCACATTTCGTCTTGTTCAGCTTGAGGCCAGATTCGTGGATTCTTCTGATGACGGCTTCGAGACGTGCGTCATGGTTGCTTGCATCTCCAAAAACCAGCGTGTCGTCCATGTAGACGATGACTCCAGGCAGTCCATCCAGCATCTCTTGCATCTTTCGCTGGAAGCACTCCGGAGCCAGTGAGATTCCCATCGGCAGGCGCAGGAACCTCTTCCTGCCGAACGGTGTGATGAACGTAGTCATTTTGGAGCTTGCCTCGTCCAACGGGATCTGGTAGAAGCCAGAAGAAGCGTCTAGCTTGGAGAACAGTGTCGCACCGCCCAGCTTGGACGTCAGGTGCTCCAGGGTCGGGATCGGGAAGATCTCACGCTTTACGGCTTGGTTCAGCTTTTTGTAGTCAACTGTGATCCGGACACCACTGTTCTTCGGGACGGGGACGAGCGCGGATACCCAGTCTGTGGGCTCAGTCTCTGGTACGATGATGCCCTGCTCTTCCATGCTCTTCAGCTCCTCCTCCACTGGCTTCATCAGCGGCAGGGGGACGTGTCTTGCTGTGGAGAGAGCGACCGGGACGGCATCCTCGCGTAGCCGGATGCTGATCGGTGCCGTCTTCATGAGACCTGCTTCTCCGAAGACATCTTCATGCACCTCTCCTGTGAACTGGAGAACACCCAGACGCGAGCACGCCGACCGGGAGAGGAGGTTATCTGCTGAGTCCACTACATAGAACACCTCCGACTCTGCTTTGCTTTTGAACATGATTGTCCCATGCAGCTTCCCTTTTACGGTTAGCACGCCACCGACGCTAGTGAGCGTGCTTGAGGCATGCTCAAGGGAGGGCAGGTTCAGTCGCTGGTAGGTTTTCAAAGACAGAATGCTAACGTCGGCACCAGAATCAACTTTGAACGTGACCTCCTGACCGCAGAGACTGACTGTGATTCTCCACGGCGCGCACGCTTTGTCGATTTCACCAACGAAAGCATCATGTGGCGCTAACGGCTCGCTTGATACTGTACGCTCTATCTGCCTGACGCTAGGTGATCGGCAGACGGCTGCGAAGTGATCCATTTTCTGACAGTTGGAACAAACTTTTCCCTTAGCGGGACAGTCCCTCGGTAAAGCATGCCGCTCTCTCCCGCAATACCTGCATGTTGTTGCAGAGTCGATGTGACGCGCTTGCTGTCGTGGCTGCGTGACAGGTGACAGCTGCTGTCGCCCGTGCTGCTGGCGCCGTTGGTGCTGCTGCTGATGGCCACGCTGGCGCTGACGGGCGTGCTGCGGCTGCTGGCGCGGCTGTCCGTACTGCGTCGGTGCTTGAACCCTGTTGACATCAAATGGACCGGAGCTGTCACGGCTGCTTACGATTTCGACGTTACGCATCATAGTAATGACCGTATTCATAGACACTTCTTCCTCGAGCGATTTGAGCTGGATCTTGCGGGACAGCTCCCTGTCGGACATCCCTGATATAAGACGATCCCGGATCCGCTCGTCAGCGTCTGCAAAGCCACAATGCTCGGCGAGAGAGAACAATGCCCTGATATACGATTCGTTGGTCTCGTGTGACCCTTGGCATCGGAGCTCGAAGTTGTGACGTTCTGCAACGAAGTTCCGTCTCGGAATGAAATACTCGTCTAGCTTGCTCTGTACAAAATCAAAATCTTTGCTTTGCTCAGCAGTTAGCTTAAAAGTTGACACGATATGCTCGGCCTGCGGGCCCATGCTATAGATCAACGCAGCTACTTGTACATCACCGTCCTCCTTGTGAAGTCCCGATGCCAGTCGGTAGCGGATGAAGCGATCACGCCACGCCGGCCACTTTTCAGGAGAGGTGAAGTCAAAGTCTTCTGGTGGATGGAAACCAGGCATCTTAAGTGACGATGCAGCACAGCAGCTACACGAAAGTCTTCAACAACGGCTGATAAAAATCACAATAATTAGATGCACGCTTCACAAAAAAGTCACTAACGCTTGCTTATGCTTCCTTGATGAGTGGCACGGCAAGTTCAGAAGGCAGGCTGCGCCATGTTTGTGTGCTTGCTTATGGCTTGATGAACCCCAGGGTGCAGACGCCACCAGTGCCAGCCGAGAACTGTATTCAGCGAGCGGGGCGGCGGTGGCCTGGGCGGCCACAGCCCAGACTGCATACGATACCGGCGCCGGCTCAGCGGCGGCTCTAGGCTATAGAGCGGGGTGTGACCACAGCAGCCACCACGATACAGAAGTTAATTCAGGCACGGCCAGCTCAGTAAGAGAGCTAACCTGGTAACAGGGCCCTGAACAAAGTAGCCCCGAGCCGAATATAAGGAGAGCAAACTAATTCAGATCTGGTAGGACTATTGAATATGGATATTGCTGAAAGTTTATACTTTTCATTAATAATCTGGGAGAAGTCCAAGGCTTTGTAGCTCTTGCAGATATTGTTCGGACGATAAGACACGCAGTGGTGGAATTAATTAGTAAAATAATCATGGATGGAGTCAACCAGCCGTGCCTAAAAGTTAGTGGCAGCGGCTAGCGCTACCAGGGAAACCCGATGCAGAAACCAAAGCCGCGCTACATAGCAGCAGACACGGCAGCAGCAGCCGGCAGACAGAGCAGCTGTCAGCTGTTAGCCTGTCTGCGGCGCCCGGTTTCACCAGCTCGGGGCCAACCAACACCGAGCGGCAATGCCAAGGTTTCCGCCACCCCGCTCCGCCACCGGTGGGCGGGGCGGGGCAGAGGGCGGATCGCAGGCCGGTCACGGCCACCGCGTCGCCGCCGAGCCCCGCTGATTGTCGAAGATTGGTGACGTGCCGGCCATGCTAACCAGTGTCCGGCGGCATCTCGGCTCGTCGGCATACGGCGACCGTCGCGTCGGTAGCCTCGGTGACCGACTCTCGGTATCAGTCCAGCGCAAGGACGGTGATACGGCACAGTATGATCTCGCGGCGGATGGGTGGACAGCAGCAGGCCGCATTAGACGGGCTGAACTAACAGCTCGCTGGAAGGCAGACGGAAGGTAGCAGATGCCAGCACGGCAATCCTTAGCGGCCTTTCAATATGACCTCAGCAGTCGGCGCACCCAATACTCCGGTCAGTAGCCGCGCCGAGGTCAGCAGCCGCAGTCCGCAGGAAGATGGATAGATGGATAACAGATGGACGCGGCAGCAGCAGTCATCTGGGACAGGACATTCACAAGAATGGGAGCACAGACAGACTCGACGAAAGAAGCCGGGCAAGCATCTGACATCGCTACGCCTCGCTGCAAAACAAGGAGAGGCAGCACCCGCACCAGCCGCGCTGCTGTCACCTCCACTGTCACCGTACCACGCCCTGTCACGGCCACATCACGGATACTTCACGATTATATCACGGTAACACCTCAGCTGCAACTGTGACCTACAATGGAGTAATTGACAGCTCCGATCACTTACCATCAGACTCCTTACTTGCCATACCGCGGCACGAATCCCACTGCGTGAACAAGCTGCAGGCGTCGGCACGATTGGGAAATTCAGACTGAGCACCGCTCGCCCAAGGGACTTTGGCCAGATTGTCTATCTGTGAGGGCCTCTAGAGCCGGAAACACACCACCGCCATATCAGGCACTTGAGTTCAAAGCTCGGGTGAGGCAAGCCACCTGGCGCTGTCGAGTCGGGTTTTAAAGTCGCTCTCAGGAAACGGGGTTGCACCCATCCAGTGAGTCGGCTTTGAATGAAGGCGGATGCTTTGAGACAAACTTGGTTGGAGTGTTAAATGATGAAACCGCTACGAGCCTGAAACTGAAGGATCTCGAGATCTGAGATGGCACTTCAAAGTGTGAGAGCTGAAATTTGGCGGCCAGATGTGAGATTTAGACAGACATAGGCTGTAGTGCACCTTAGCCCTGGACGACCTTGGGGCCGCCTCCATCACTGAGCATGACTCAGAGGCAAACAGCGCCGGTGGCGCCGCGAGCAGGCGGTGATACACCGCCGACACCAGACGGAGAGGCGCAGCCAGCCACCAGACACATCACTGACGCACCGCAATGACGCAGCCGTCACTGAGACCACACTCGGCTCATGTCAGCTCGCAATATTTTGCATAATGCTGAGTCGATAAGGAAACCTATACCACTCTCGGGCTAAAGAACGGGTCCCAATGATGATCGCAGTACGCCGCACGACTGGAATCAGCTGCTGTAGAAAACCAGTAAGTCCGGTTCACACCGCACGGTGACTCCGTGATAAAACACCGCGATGGTATCCGGAAGGAGGAAACGGTTCACATCCGATGAAATTAGTCACTGTATGACAGCGTCCAGTTATTGCCGATGACAGGTGAAACGGAAAGTCTTCGACCCGAAGTACCATGGACGTTTGGTGACGTTTACACAGGACAAGGAAGGAATACCCTTTCGCCTGCAATTGGATGAATGATTCACTGCCAGTTTAATAAATGCATCTTTGAAATGCAAAGCACTTATGAGAAACAGTAACACAGACCAAAGACGAACCACGTCACCCTTTCATCACCGATGACGGTAGATAACCCTCATCTGAGCGTGATGAAACTATCCAGCCCGGCAATGCCCCGCGGGGATCTCCATGCCGGTCGGACCCTGTACCCCGGTCCCATCCGCGCCCGTCAGAACGGCCGTAATCTATAGGAGCGGTCGCTATGGCCGGCCCGGGTGACACAGGCCGACCTCCCTGCCCCGCTGACCTTTCCGCGCCGGCTCCGGCATCGCTGCGCCGCGTCACCACTGCCGCTGTCGCGCCACCGCTCGCCGCAGCTCCTACCGCACACCACCGCACTCAGCGGAGTCCGCGGACCGTCTCCCGGCGGCGGCGGAGGGCGGACCAGACCGGGCGGACCGCCGCTGGCCGGCCGCCCACCGTCCGACCGGCCAACACGGCCAATCCGCCCAGCTGGCACCGGCAGCGGCACGACGCGCCCACTGCCCGCTCCGGCGGTGGGTAATCTCAGTAGGCCAGCGGACAATGGGCACCGGACGCCGGATTACGGACATTGGGGTATATGGGACGGCGGGTAGGGAACACTGTCGTAAAGGCAGTGGAACAGACGAGATACCCCGGAGAACCGGCAATAGGACATATGGGATACCATACCGATATGAGAACAGTGGGGTGTGCCATCAGTGGAACAGATGGAGAAGGAGGATGTCGTCACGTCTGTGCCAACTATCCGTGCCAGCACCACCACCATCAGACTCACGGCAGACAGTACGACAGGCAGCATGACCGCCAGCTGCATCAAAGTAGTCTTTGTCTGCCTCTGAGCGCAGCACGCCTATCTAAAGCACCCCTCCAGGACCCGTCGTCTCATGGAAATCGGCTTCCGAGCAGCAGTCCCCGTCGCCATGCCCGCTCATGGATGAACGGAGAGACGACACGTTCGTATCAATTACCCCGTTTACATGACTCATTCAGCCTATACGGAAATATCCGATTAGCCAGGGAACGGAAAAATGCGTTTTGGTGGCCCCGTTTACATGAGCCTTATCGGAAAAATCCGTTCCGGAACGGATAATTCCCTTTACGCCGGCAGCCCGAAAAAAACGGATATTTTGCGCATTTCAGTCCCACGCACAAGGGGGAAAAGCTCAAATTATTGAGCGCTCAAAATATTGAGTGTGTGACGTCAGAGGCTCCCATAGGCGTAATGCTGAGGGCTCAAAAAATTGAGCCGTTTCAGGAACACGTTTTGCAAAAGCAACTCGCAACACCTAGGGAGAAATGGCAACACCCTAGGAGAATCACTAATGATGCAAAACAGATTAGGCTTTCATATTTTTCACTGCTCAAGCTTCAACGATTGGGGGAACACCAATTTATAGGTCGAAATCTTACGGCATACCAGGATGACCTAAAAACAGGCCAATATTTATGTCGAAATAAAAGTTATTTTTTGTCCATTCACGTTTTTTACTAGGGTTCTGTTGGAAAGAGCATTTTTCATACTACCCTAAATGATTGCGACTCAATTTCACATTACCCATATCGGAGAATATTTTTCATTTGGCGGCGCCGTTTGTTTATTTCGTCGCGACGTCTCCGGTCGCGTGGTTGTCGTCGTCCTTGTGTTGAAGGTAAGTTTTTATCGTTTTAGTTATACTTAGATGTTAAAAGGTACACTGAAAAGTTTGAATATGCTGTGATTTTAAATTTGGAAACACGTAAACGTCAATCAATTCACGTTTTCCTCGATTTGCGTGCATATAAGTAACTGTCGACGAAAGTGGCGCCATCCGATATGATGTTTTGAAGGAAGGAGACACAACATATTTACGTGAAAATTTTTGTTTTATAGTGGTCTAAGTGCTTCAAAGAGGCTGTGAATGTTTTCTTCACACAATTTTTCATTAGGTATGATGAGGTAAAAGGTAGTTTCA